CAATCATACAATTTTTCACGGTCAATACTCCGTCAGTCGAAAGTTTATTGTGTCAATATTTTTGTGCTACTGCGTTGGTGACGACGCGTTCATATTATTATACCATTGCACAATTGAATTGAATTGAAAGGAATTTCCCATCGAGAGTTACAAGTTAAATGAATAATTTAACGGCTTACTTACTGCGGCTACTGCTTGTTACTATTAACCACTAGTATATTATTGCCAAAGTGTCGTTTCTTATGATTATATTTAAAGGGTTAAGATTTATATAGTTTCGACAGCCATCTTACTATAGAGTCGAGTCCGTATCCTCCTCACATCAATACGTAAACTGTAATATAGTTATGGGCTCGACTACCATAGATTCCATTATTAAAGGTGACATTAACAAACTCTAGGATTAGCACAACTAATAACTTTGGTAATGCTTTTAGTTGAATGAAGAATGAATATTTTATTAATCTGTACATCAGTGAACCGTTACAATATTTTCAGTATTTACGAGTAGTTTTTATTTAAAAAGTTTTTATTTTATTTAAAAATATAATAAATATAGTGTCTAATCTTTTTTATTTAATGAACAACTTTAAATGCTTATATTTTAATAGTAGTAAGAAAGGTATCGGTAGTGTAGGGCTATTGCGCCGGTTAACGACCAGGGCCTCAATTCTGCAATTTTATGTTCACGCCAAGCCACTGTCATACCACTGACACGCTATTGAGATGCCATCGAGTGGCCATTGGCATCGGTATAAATATCGGTAGTCTACACTAACTCAGTGTCTTTACAGTAGCGATGGAATGGCAGTGGCTCATCAGTGGTGATATCAACAAGATTGCCATATTTGGAAAAATTTATAATTCATTTCCTAAAAAAAACGTAATATATTTTCAAATTATAAGGCGCTCAATAGCGTGTCAGTGGTATGACAGTGGCTTGGCGTGAACATAAAATTGCAAAATTGAGGTCCAGTTAGCTGGGTTGCTCATTTCAGACGAGTAAAAGAAAATTTTATCTATACGCAATATAGTATCTGTTAGGAAAAAAATAGTCCAAGGATAGTCTAGTTCTGACATAAAATATAAAATAAAATACCTTTATCCATAACTTATTATTACAACCACTTTTATCAGTTTACGACCACCAGTGGTTTGAGAACACTATTTTAATATGATAAATACGCCATTAAAATATTTCCATCGATTAAAAATGATTTTAATATTGCCTTTTAGTAAAGTATAATTATGGAAACAATAATTGTTAACAAAAATAATATAGTAATTTTTGGTGTAGTGTTTTTCTCATAATTATTTATATTTTGAAAATCAAATATAAATTATTTGCGTTTTTTGGTTTCGACAGAAAGTTTCTGACTACCGACTTCCACTAAGATTTCAGTAGTGCAAAAACCAGGTTTGTTCCGGTCTATTCGGCATTATTCAAGAGATTCTTCGTACCATGGTATTGCTATGGCCAAAATACCCCTTTAACCCGCTACCAAGTGCAGGATCTGGTTCCCTCGAGTCGATAGCATCATATCTCTGCCCACTAAGCCAATCTTGAATTCTAGTCCAACGGATCTGATACAGTTTACCAACTTCTCTTGTTTTCCCTACATTCGAATGCCATTTAGTTTTATGGCGGCCTCTCATCTTAAAAAAATAGTTCAAAATATTGTCTATATTTTATGTTGAATTCTAATGTATAAACGGAAAAGTAATTCTATTTAACATTTGTGAATCTAGGATTACATTGATACTTGTTGAAATAATGATTAAACAGACATTTAATTAAACAACACACGTAAAATATACGTGAATGCACTCAACATATTATTATAATATTACAAATTATTATATTTATTCAAGCTTGCGGTCGCAAACTAATGTCTTTATTTATATTGTGTTGGTTAACAACCATCTTTTGAGAATATGGTTGTAGGCAAGAGATAATATTTAAACTGGTGGTCTCTTACTTAAAAAATGCATCTTTGCACTTTTATAATGCTACACCCAGAACTATTTTTGTTTTTAAAACTTCAATAAATGTGGTTTATCGCACCACTAAATCGTCTCGCAATTTGACAATTATTTTTTTCGGTGCTGGGATAAATTATTTGTTTAAAACTATGTAAATTCTTATTTGATAACTGTTTAAAAACGCATAAGATATTTTTTTCACAATTTTACTTCTAGAAATGCTTTTTTTTTGACTTAAAGGAACTTAGTCCGTCAAATGGTCGCCTACTGAAAGCGGTCGCGAAAATGACTATATAGGTTAAAATCATTTGTTTGTCAGCTCTAACGATGCCTTAGCCATTAGACAACTACAGTTTTTGGCTTAAAATATAATCATTTAATCTGTTTTACAGTAATCATAACAAATAACATTGAGTTATTGTTACTTTTATTTTGTACCCAGCACTAAAAATAATTATTTTGCACCACAAATACTGCGTTTAACGGTAGAACGTATACGGGCTATAATGTTTGCATTATTCTTGTAAATAATTAAATTTGAATTTTATACGAGTATTACGAAATAAATATTGCAATCTAAAGGACACCACACACATTAATTAGGACACACCGAATATATAAATAAAACATCTTTTCCATTTGACATTTTTTGACCTCATTGCAAGGTTTTGACACTGGTATTAAAATGTGGTAGAATGTTTCGTAATCATGGATTTTTATTATCTAATACTTTAATGTTAATTGGACAAGGTTTGAGACAGGTATATTATTTTTACAATAATAAAAGAGTAATTTGGTATATTATATGTATATCAATTGAAAAATAATATCAACTTACGTATATTGATATTATTTTTCTAATTTTAAGGTCATATTGTGTGTTTATTTTTAAAGGGATGGAGATATGTTTTATACGTATGTGTTAGTAATAAACGTCATGTTTATCTTCTTCGACATGTAACTTAAACCCGTGAAACACGAAATTTTAAAATTTTGTGTTTCACGGGTATTATGAAGAACAGACGAACTGAGATCGTTTTTGTAGATAGCAGTATGAAACTTACGTTGAAGATGTCCTCAGACCTTATGTTCACCTAATCGAACAAAGTCTTGCCTCAGATTACACGCTGATGCATGACAATACACATTCGCACACAGCTCGGAGAACCAGAGAGTACTTGGCAATGGAAAACGTTCGGGTATTGCCGTGGCCTGCCCACTTGTCAGACCTCAATCCCATCAAGCATGGGACATGCTTCAAAGACGTGTCCTAGAGAACCTGGACGGAATGTCAATAACCCAACAACTGAAAGACTTGTTAAAATTCCATTGGGAGAGATTACAGGATCTGGTAAACAAACTTATAAATGCAATGAAAAAGTTTTCAACAACATAAGCGGGCACACTTTGTTTTGAATTACCAAATACATAATTAATAAAAATGTCGTTATTGTATTTTCTAAATCATGAAATGTTTAGTTTTGTTTCATCTGTATTTTATACTACGTACTCGTATGTTACGGTACACATACTGTTAAGTATAAAAAATAAACAATTGAATGAAGGATTTTGTTGCTTTGATCACTAATGCATCGAAGAACGCTTGGTTATCATTTATAAAAGAAATATATTACAATAGTAAAAATCATTCAAAAGTTCAAAACCTTACTTGTTACTTTGACTTTTTTGCTGTGTGTATTGAACAAAGACGGAAATAACGCAATCAAGTACAGGTATTACTAAGCTTTAAATTTCATAGCCTGTTTGAAACATCAGGCGATTTAAAGGCATAAATGTATATAAAATAAAATTTATATAGTTCCCGAATATGTACAAATATAACAATATATTAAATTACATATTTTACTTTTACCGATGTTACTTAAACTTGTACGTTTACCTTAGTCATCGTCTATCCTTTGGCCAGGGCTCCCAGTCGAGGGAAATCGCTAGGCGTATTCAACTGGGGTGGGCTGCTTTTGAAAAATTGGAAGACGTCTTTAAGTTCAAAATCCGAAATGTCTAAAAACTAACATATTCAATCAATGTATTCTGCCTATTCTCCCTTATGGATCTGAAACATGGCCTCTCACATACAAGCATATGTATGCCATAGGTTTGCCAAAGAAACGCGTACATAACACAGCATTCTGACCAGAAATAACGAGTACAACTTTCATTATAAGTACAGAATTACACACGAGACATCACCTTTTATCATTCATCATTCATTCATTTACGGTTTTAATGTTACATATGTGAATATTAACTACACATTAATAAAGACTAACTTTCGTTTAAACTCGTATACAAAACATTATTCACTTTGGAAATCTGACAACACAACTGTCAGTTTTTGAATTCGCTTTTCAGTAACGATAGGCATAATAATATGTAGTTAAGCGGATTGGTAATGTATTCAAACAAATAATATGTATGTGTTCAGACCAGATGCCTCAAACGAAGAATAGAAGTACGTGTTCTAGTAGATATACGTTACGAAATTATACCGAGATATCATTCGAAATCATTTTATGGCGAAGGATTACGTGTTGATTAATTTTAAATAAAAATATTTATAATTTTAGTGACACCAGAGACGCTTTTATACAGCATGACGATGTTGAAATATTCGGTTTCAATCAACCTCTGATCTGTCTACCAACACTTAATACGCACACACATCTTTGTTCAACTATCAATATTTGTTTTTTTTACATTGTCAGATCATCTTAATAAAGACTCTTTGTAAGATGTAACGTCCAAAAGAATTTTCTTATTTACTATTTTTGAGTATACAATGCTATTGTGACTGTAATTAAACGAACAAAAACTCATGTTCTAACCGGTTAACGTGATTGATGTACCGTAACATTGAAGACTTACTCGTTTATTTTACAATACCTAAATTCCATAGGCAATAAACACCTTCCATTAGCCAACGTAATATAGCTCTAACCTACTTTTATGTGATGTAACATCATTGGTCTAATAATGTTTTTTTCATTTTATTTTAGTGTACCGATCTTCAAGAATTTCTCTGAAGACACGCTGATCAAGATATCTGACGTATTGGAGGAAACACATTACCAAAATGGCGACTACATTATCAGGCAGGGTGCTCGTGGTGATACTTTCTTCATCATATCTAAAGGACAGGTATGTATTATTTAAGCAAATATTTAATTATGCTATGGATAAGTAAGTTTGAAAACAATTTACGTGTAAATATTTGTGTTCCTTAAAAATGCGTTGGGTGCTAGATCTCAATTGTGGTAAAAACTTTTTAGTTTTTATAAACCACGATTAAATTTTTTTTTGCTTTTTTAGTCATTAATGGTGATTATTTTCTCATTAAGACTAAAAAAGTAACAAAGTAAATATGTCACAAATGCTTTATCATACGCCTTAGTACGTGGCAGAAGACACTACCGTATTTTTAGGTATGGAAAAAGCCGTTAATCTTGAAGGTCCTGGTCAGGATGATCGGACAAATTTATTAAATTATTGTGTTGTCATCGGTCCTTGATAAGTGTACGAAGCCCGTTACATAGATACATACATCCAATAAAAGCGTGTTAAAGAGAAGAAAGAACTTTTTTCATCTGTTAGCTTCTTTTTGGAAAAGTCAGCAGCACGTCGTTGACTTTATAGGCCTAGGTAGAGAGTGAAAAGGTGGTACTCTGTGCGTTTTACATCGTTAATACAAATTATTACATTTTAATTATTGTTCAGCCATTCTGACGTTATAATTTCCTCCATTTTTAATAGGGTACAAATTATTTGTGGCCAGACATTAAATGGCACAAAAACTCTAACCTGCTGTAACTTTCAAAATCTCTATCGGACCAGACGTCCCGACGCTCACCTTTTATTTGTGCACAAAATAGGTTTATTATTAAGCCATTTTTACGAGTATCTTGAGTATTTTAATGACTTTCTAATGTGGTGATTATAAAGTAATATATTATATACTTCTTATCTTCATACTATTATTTCGACAGTCTCTTTATCTTGTCTCTAATAGCGTTGTCTATAAGTGGGCATTCGTTATTTTAGGATCATTTATTTCAATGACAAAGATTGAACGAAGACAGAGTTGTAGTTTATTAAGATGAGTACAAAAACCGGTCAAGTGCGAGTCGAACTCATGCGCCGAGGGTTCCGTACCTACCCAGAATTTACGTAGATTTTCAAAATATAACTTAATTTTCAACTTTGTTTTATTTTTTGGAATTTTGCCCTTTTTTGTGCTGTAACACCTTGCTTTTTGCCAAATTTCGTGATTCTAGGTCAACGGGAACTACCATATAGGTTTTTAACCCAAAACCTATACGGTACTTCCGGTTGACCTAGAATTGTCAATTTTGGGTAAAAGCAAGGTCTTACAGTACAAGTAAAGGACAAATTCCGAAAAATCAAAATTTGCCCATATCTTTTATCGTGTTGACTCAGGACCTTGATTTTTATATACCTTATAGGGACTATAAACCTCAGTATCTGGTATAAATTCCAACTTGCTTGGTCCACCCGTTCCTGTGAAAATCTTATAGGGGTTCCTTTTTAACCTTTTGAGGTACGGAACCCTAAAAACTAAATTCTCACTTTCGTTTGAATTAACTTTCGATTATCCAGCACTTGTACGGACGTGACTTTTTTATCTCTACGTTCCTTTTTTACGCTTTTCTGTTATTTTTTCATTTCCTTTTATTATTATCTTGTAGAGGTATAACTACTACTAGAAACCTACAGATTATAATTGATTTTGAACAGTAAGAAGACACTGTTCAATATTGTAAGGAAGTTGAGACAGTCTTCGTGAAAGGTCGTTACTAATGGTGACAGTTAAGAATCTGCCTAGGCTATCTCGATATAAGGTTGAGATTTATCTATCTGGCGTGTAAATTCATTGTAATAAAAAAAAACCGTGATATTCTCGTTGCAATCAAAATACTGAGTTACATGAAATTATGTCGACCAACAATATACATATATATACATTGTGGTTTGTTGTGTGCGTGCAGAAAAGTTATATTTTCATCTACTTTCTTATATCTTATTATTTATTTCTTCTACTTATATATCTATTTTAGGTTAAGTTTTAATATAAACATATATTTACATCAAATGTACAAATATATAATCACGATAGCCGCTTATATTTTAATTCTAGAAATCATTACTAAATGAGTTGCTAGCAATTACTATTTCAAATTTCTGTGTATAGCTGCGGTAATAATTTGAGAATTTCGTTATTTCCTACGTCTTATCCATATTAAATCGAATGTTTAAATTAAATTTCCTTTGTGTTTGTGCCAGTGAGTTGTATAACATTTAATCTGTAGACGGTGACTATTCAAGAAGTTCACCTTGGCATTTAGCTTTATGTCTCCTCAAACATTTATTATTTGTATCTGTTGTCACTAATATAATAATAAAAGTTTGCACTTAATATCAACCCGTATTCTATTAAATAGATCAACATATTCTAATAAATATTGAATTAAAAGTCTAGTTTTAAATGATTAAATTGTGTCCATATTTTGCTTTCTTTAAAAACAATTGACTGTCTATTTTATCTTCCTTCATTAACACTACTACAGTCGATTAAAACTTCACAAAACAAACGCCATGGCTCAATTTTATATAGCACGGAGGTAGTGGAGGCCAAAAGCCTGGCTATTGTAAGTACAAGGTCAGTGCACTGAACGCAACCGTGAGGATTATGCGTACAGTCTTTTGAGATATAAGAACGGTATGTGGGAAAATTTCAAGGTACATAGACAATAAGACTGATTACTTATTTTCTTCAAAAATATCTTTATTTTCTATCGCAATTATATTTCTTTGCATCATATTCTTGAATATTTCTGTGGTTAAAGGGAGAGAGTAAATACCTTTCTGCGTTTAACTCCTCCTTAGTATTTTATAATGATTGTTTTTATTTGTATCTCAAATCGAAGCAATTTATAGCAAAGCAATTAGCGGTTGGTATTGGTTGTTAAAGTGTAAACAAATTGATTGCGGAAACAATTTATCTCTTGTACCTATTTCAAATTCGTCACATTATCTAACATTCTAGTTGCATAATTGTGACATCATTGTTTGGTACACTTGTAATAAAAAACAACAATCTTTGGCCGTATTTTATATTTTTTTTCTTTATTGGACAATAAGTATTTGACCACTCTAGTTGCAACTCTGCAAGGTTACTTTAGCATTGAGAACATTGTTCTTAACCCTGTGAAACACTAAAACGAACAATAAAGTCGTAAGAGTGAAGTAATGATTCTATTCTTGTCAAAATTTGATATGTTGTAATATTAAACCTATTCCTAAAACTTGAATGTTTGGTAGATATCAAATTAATTTGTTCTTATCCGTATGTTGATTAAATTTATTACAGACTTGCCTTTTGCTTCAACACTGCTTTTTTTTATTTATCATAAATTCATGCACACACAAAAAGAGGCGTGGCCTATAACTCGTATTATATTTATAAATATAATGACAATCTATCATCATTATCATCAACAGCCTTTAATAATCCACTGCTGGACATAGGCCTCTCCCTAGAATGGAGGTTTTGACCTAATGGCTACGCTGGCCAGACGGGTTGGTATCGGGTTTGTATCAAGTTTCCCTTCTCTTTGCAGTGCTTTTGTTCCGCGTAGTTTGCTCCCTTAGTCGGCTCTTACGATCACACCGGGATGAATAGGGATGGTGATGGTTCTTAATCCGTCACAACACGGACAATAATGTTAATTGTTTAGGAGTATTTTCGCATAGAATAATATTATTGGTGGCTAATGTATAACATATATAAAGAACCGTAAAATCGAACAAAGAAGTATGTAAACGGAAAAAAACTTGTTTCTAACCATCGAATTGTATAACTAAACGTTGAATTCGTTACAGCGAATGATCGGATGAATTTGTAAGTGTTCTAAGAAAGAAATATTTATAAAACGGCCACCTCTAAAGCGCTGAGGTGTGACAAAAGTGCCCGTTTTGTTGATCTTATGAAACTATTTGGTTGACTTCAGTGACGTCGATTGTTACATTAAGTTATATTATCTCATCTGTTTCCGCTGTTATCTCACCGGTGTTTGTTTAAGCAAACTCTTTTACCTGTGTCAGTAAACATTAGATATTGACATTGGTTTGATTGTTTTCGTTTAAAGTAGAATGAGATATAACGATTAACACTGGATAGTAGTTTTTTATACATTTAATATAAATTATTATTTTGTTACTTATATCCGACTGCCGAAGGAGGGTAATATGTATCGTGTAGGTTTGTACTTATGTTTGACGGATTTGCACATATTATTATGAGGTGTCATTAGATTCAGCTCTGTTGTGGGATATAGGTTATTTTTTTCTCACCTTGGTTACCATTTACGTTTATTACGGCTTTTTTATTTATTTATTTATCTTAATAATGCATTGTATTCTTTCAAACCATTATTCAAAAATATGTTCTAAATTTATTTCCGTATATTACTTTTCCTTTGTCATAAGGTGTGAATAACAACATACTGAATTATATTGATGGTTCATTGAACACATTAGGTTTTTGTTAAATTAAGTTTATTTCCTGTCCCAATTTCTATTATTTAATTTTAAAGTTAAATGAGTTTTGTTTATTTATTTACTATTGTTTATTCTTTAACATTTGCCAATTCGTGTTTTATGGGGATCATAAAGAATTTATAGTTTCTCTTATCAGTGGTTGTCTAATTACTACTAATTTATGTAACGGAACTAGTAATAATGCAGTTGTGACTAAATTGCCTAGCATGTTATTGTGGGTACATGAATGGCCATCGGTCTCGTACTTCACTTGTCCATCCAGATTGGTCCGGATTTTAATGACAACTTTCAATGAAATCTAAACATCCGCCTCGCATTTTTATGGCTTGAATACTCAACTCACTAATCTCGTCATCTACTACTTGTAATACGACACAGATAATATCTATGTGATGTAGTTTTGAAACTTTTTGTTATTTATGATAATGTAATACAATTATAATTAGTTATTTATTTATAATTATAACCATGCCTATAAAAGTATGGATATTATGTGATAATGGCTGTGGCTAATGGTTGTGTCTATTTGTTTTTCAGGTGAAAGTGACTCAGAAGCCACCTAACAGTAACGATGAAAAGTTTATAAGAACCCTCACAAAAGGCGATTTCTTCGGCGAAAAGGCATTGCAAGGGTAAGTAATATAATATGCATAATTATGTTTATTTTTATGTTATATTTATTCGACCAAATATCAACGAATATTGACAATATACCAAAAAAATATTCTTGTTCTCAACATTGCTCTATCTGTACAATGTATTATAATATGTCATTCTATCTGTATCTCTGTACGCAAACTGTGAATCGTAACACAAAGTAAACCGTAAACGTTTGTGTCAAGGTTTAATGAAGGTAAGTTAGATGATTAGCGAAAAAATAAATAAGAATCTTAGCATTTAATACGATTATTTAGATTGTATAATGTATTACGTGCTGAAGAATTACTCGAGATGATTCCCACGGCTGCTTTCTACAATCTCGTCATTTGCCACTTTCAGGAATATATCCTCACATATTACAATTTACTGTTAAAAAGTATCGCTGACTTCAATCGCCTAAATAATAATAAATTGTGATAAGCTGTTTCTTCTATTCCCTAAATTTCTACCTTTAAAGGTCTTCGAATATAAATAGGACCAATCTTGACCCAGGTTCACAAAGGCGAAGATATCGAGTACCTTCTACAAAACAATTCAATCGAAATGAGAACCTGTATTTTTTGAAGTCGTTTAAAAACAGTTCATCTCGCCTCTTCTGTAAAGTTCTTCTATAAAATGACATTGTTAAGTTTTATCCCCGTAGATTGTAGTATGAGTAGTAGGTATGAAGTACCTCAAAAAAACCTGATAGTAAAGTACTTTTCCTCAGCTTAGTGATATAACGTACCTATAATTAGTGATCTTAATATACTACCTTCGATCTAATAATCTAAATGATAATCTACGATTATCATTTAGATTAACACATAAGCAAAGTGTACTACTGTACCTTATATCAATTCTAAAACATTTAAAATGTACGAGTATAGTAGAGTACAAGTCTCGCCGTCAAGGTGATTTTGTCATCGTTGGTTTTATTTATGTTGTTTCTGCGAACTCAATGATGACTCACAATTTAAAAGTAAGCCTTAGACGCAACAAATACTTGTACTTGGCCTTATAAAACTCCAACTGTTATTTAAATATAGAACATTTAAAAGCGTTTTTTGGCTAAGTTTTTCTCAATTGACATCATAATTTCTCTTATATTTCAGAGACGATCTTCGAACGGCTAACATTATCTGCGACGCTCCAGAAGGCACGACTTGCCTCGTCATCGACCGGGAGACTTTCAACCAGTTGATCTCGACCCTCGACGAAATCCGTACTAAATACAAGGACGAAGGCGAAAGCAGGGCGAGGTGAGACACATTTTTATAAAATATCTTGAGTGGTGGTTGTTTCGTTTCATAAAAGTCCTGTTAGGGGTCTTATACGTGGAGTTGATTCAAATTGTTTTTAAAACAAGAATGCGTTTATAACTTAGCGTTTAAACGTTTATAACTGATGATACTTACTGTAAAACTATAACAGATGAATGTATATTAGTATGCAGCAGTAGCGCAATGGCTATTACGATAAACAGTTTCGTTTATCTGATATAATACTTCATGTTAATTGCAGTTAAAATATTAGCAGACAAGCTGATTATTGTTATAAAAAATTTACCCTAAGTGGCACTCTCACACTTAAGTCGAATCTAACGACACCTTACACGCCAAAATCCGTCAAGCCATTTAGGCTACATGCATACATACATACACTTGGACAAAATACCAAAATAAAAACAATATTTCTGGCGCAGTCGAGTAAAATATTAATATTAATAAGCTCTATGTTTTTTTTTTGAGGCTTATCGTCTGAGAGCTGTGTCAAGTTCACATAACCTTAAAATAGGTTTATTGCTAGAGTATTACAAACTATTACACATTAATGCAACCACTACTGTATTAACACACCTTTTGACTTGCAAACAATGTTTGCAATATGACTAGGAACTTGGTTTTACCGTCTGTAATCCATTTTATCTATTTCTTGCACACAACACGGACTTCGTACTTCGGTAAGTGTTATAAAATTAAGTCGTTTTTAGACTTTCTACTCGTCAATGTTGAATTTAATTATCGGTGTAAGTTAATCGGTTGTTAACTTTCCTCTTTGACGTGAAAAATGTGTTTACTGAGACATTGAGAGCGATAACAAATAAGTTTCCCGCGTTTTTACATCATGCGTTGTGAAGGTGATGTGTAAACAATAGGCTCATCTCGATGGCTTAATAACAAGTCACCGCAAAAACAGAGTGAATTCAATTAATATTTAATAGGAAAGTTATTAGTAAGTTGATGAACCTGATTTTGAACACCGAAACGAGGTAATTAGAGAAATCGATTTAACTTAATTACGTAGATGTCTTGATGTATTTTTGTAGGCATGTTATTTATTCCAATAGTGCTATGAACTTTCAGATCTGCTGTCAATTTTAACATTTAAGTCAAAACGGTTTTTTTTTTCATATCACTTGAAATATTTTTCAAGCAATAGGGAGAAAACAAAGGAAACCAATTAATAAAAACATTTGTAAATTGAACATTTAAAAACTAAAGAATTGTTGATATTTAACAGGAATACATATCTACTTTTTTTCATTTGAAAATAGAAAATACTGAAACCTTTTTAATATGATACATATAAAGAATATTACTAGCATATCTAAATATATTTAAAAAAAACATGAAACATAAGGTATAAGCTACGAATACCATAAACAAACAGTTTAGTGATTTGAATCCAACAAAAGTATTTCATCAATTTATTGAAATGTAATTAATAATTTATTTATAATTTTCAGGTTAAACGAAGAATTCGCCAATCTACGTCTGTCAGACCTGCGTATTATTGCAACTTTGGGTATCGGAGGCTTTGGCCGAGTGGAACTGGTACAGATTCAAGGCGACACTAGCAGGTCTTTTGCCCTCAAACAAATGAAGAAAGCCCAGATCGTTGAAACGAGACAACAGCAACACATCATGTCTGAAAAAGAGATAATGTCGGAAATGAATTGCGAGTTTATCGTTAAACTGTACAAGACGTTCAAAGACCGTAAGTACTTGTATATGCTGATGGAGACCTGTCTTGGTGGCGAGTTATGGACCATTTTAAGAGATCGAGGTAAGATATAACCAATAAAAAATATTTCTGAAATTAGTTAGACATAAGTATTCTTTTAAATTTCAATCATAATTTTCTTTAACAGGTCAATTCGACGACTCAACAACTAGATTCTACACAGCTTGCGTAGTTGAAGCGTTCCATTACTTGCATTCTCGAAATATAATTTACAGGTAAGATTAATAGAAAATAGTGCCAATAAACACTGAATTTTACGGGGCATCCCGCCAAGCGCTGATCATTAATTGACATTTATAGCTACTCTCAGATATAAGGTACTATATTCCTGGACAGTGTGAGTAAAATTTGAAAAAACTAGATAAAATTTGATGAACGAATAAAGGGTACGGTATCGCATAACATAGCGAACACACATTACATTTAGTTTTATATTTTAAACTACACATTTTAGACTACAATTGTGTTCAATTTAAGTTTGAATCATTTACTACAAGGTCCAATATAATGTTAAATACTTATTCTATTTTTTTAATATTAGACACGGTGTTTACTAACTTTAAATACAAAAGTTTATTTAAGTTTCATATGGCTTCAAAGTGTCGATGTGAGGAACATAATTTTGATACGAGTTTCGATGGCGAAATTTTTCATTAGTCTTACGGATATCGGGCTTTTTTCTAACAGTTAAAAATACACATACTCGTAGTAAAATTGTAGTAAAAATAAAAAAAAAACTTCTTGCACCAAGTTTAGTACATAATATTAAAACAGTTTTTAACATTTGAATGGCAATATTCCTTCTATCTCCTCTTTTCTATGTGAATATTCCATAGTATACGTATGCAATAACTTTTCAATACCAAATTTATTATTTCAGGGATCTAAAGCCTGAAAACTTACTACTGGACTCCAAAGGTTACGTAAAGTTAGTGGACTTTGGTTTCTCGAAGAAGCTGCAAGCCAGTCGCAAGACCTGGACTTTCTGTGGCACACCTGAGTACGTAGCACCTGAAGTGATTATGAACCGAGGTCATGACATAAGCGCTGACTACTGGTCTTTAGGTGAGATTTATTATATTAATAATTTCTAGTAATAATAGTGTAAGATAATTATCAAGTATTACTTTTTTTACAGAACTCTTGGTGAATATGCGTCGACCACCGATTGTGTATATCGTTGTATAGTTTCAATAGGGGCTGAAAGCCCCTATTGAAACTATAAGGTACAGGTCTTTGTTCCTTTCGATTCTCGTGACCATGCCATAATGTTTTGATTTTATGTTTTTAAATTCATTTCAATACTACAATGTCATGACTTGTACTTAATTTATCATATAAAAGTTATACAGTTTAAAAAGAAGTAATGAAATCGCTGACCATGTTGCCTCATGGTCATGCGTTTTTTATTTATTAAGTTTTTCGTTAATGAAAGTGAACGTAAATGCAATAAAATATGAACTACATTGTTTGCAAAATTTATTGCTATTATATATAACGTAATTCGCAGAATATTACCAATGGCTCTTGTTACCTCTGGAGAAGTAAATGTAAAACAGTAGACGTTCTCTAAAAAGTAGTGCTTATTTTAATATGTATTTTTTATGAGAGGTATTGTCATTACCAGACCGGGGCCACTCCGCACTATAGGCATAAAGCTGCAAGATAAGAAGTACTTCTGTACTTGCTCTATTCTGTTTCGCTGTTTTATTCTTGAGTCAAATGACAGTTGGAATAAGTTGCAAAAACATGATTGAAGACTGGTATTTCGTCTTTCGTTTCGTAACATAATATATGTTACAGCGTGGGGATGGTTTGATACGTTAACTTTCATGAATGTCGCCATTCATGAAAGTTAACGTAAGTTGTGTAACAGTGACCATTTCATGAATTAAGCATTAACGTCCTTAGTAAAACAAAAACAATGTGAAAATCCTTTTAAAAAAAAGGTGTATCGACTTTAAACAATAATAACAAAGCACTAAAAACCTGGCCGCAATTGAGGTTGATTTGCTGTCATTTTTTGCGGAGTTCCGTTTTTCATATAGTATCGTAATAAAAGTTCGGTCTCAATTCAGTTTCGATCAACATTCGATCTAAAAACTGTCATAAATGGTATTTTTATAGTAAAGTATTAAACATCTAACGTTGACTGTGATGTGATTTATGTTTCTGATTTCCAGGTGTTCTCATGTTTGAACTCCTTACCGGCTCACCACCGTTCACGGGTACAGATCCTATGAAGACGTACAACAAGATTCTGAAGGGTATCGACGCCGTCGAGTTCCCACGATGCATCACAAGAAATGCTGCAAATCTCATCAAGAAATTATGTCGAGACAATCCGGCTGAAAGGTTGGGCTATCAGCGTGGTGGTATCACGGAGATACAGAAACACAAGTATGTATCATGTTTTATAAAATATGTCATGTACGAATATTTTATGAAGGTAGATCTTCAACGATTCGAAACCTATAAGTAGAAGAAATTTATTAGCTTGAAATGGCCACTTTGAGACCTTTCTAGATCAGAGCATATTGTAATATTTATTTTGTGTTTTTACAGATGGTTCGACGGTTTCAACTGGGAAGGTCTAGCCCAGCGTTCCTTGGAGCCTCCGATCACGCCGGTGGTGAAGTCCCCACTCGACACACACAACTTCGACCAGTACCCGCCCGATGGAGAGGAGCCACCACCGGATGATCTCTCCGGATGGGACAGTAATTTCTAAATAAACAATACTGTAGACATAAGATTCATTAACTAATGTTTATCTTTACAATGTGTCTGTAACTCATTTTGCATTGCTGTGAGTAAAGAAGTTACTCCAAACGTGCCAGCCAGCTTCTGAGCTTTAGGTAACCACGTTTTGCGCGATCATTATTATGTAATCTAAGTTCTATCTCCACAAGAGTAATATATATATTCCTTTATTTAATATATAAAGTTAATTTAATAATGCTTCGTCTCCATTATTATGTTAAATTAGATGAGTAAACTGTTATCTCAAATCGATATGTGATTGTTTTCAATGACGGTTGAAAGTTTTCATGCCATTAAATATATAGTTGTTAGTTCTTGCCAGTTGCCCAGCAACTGATAATATAAATCGGCGATTTAATTTTGATGTTCAAACTACAAAACTATTTTGCATATCAAAATTACAATTCCACTTTAAACGTAACTTTGAATGTCCCTAGAAGTTGTAAATAAAATAAATTATAATCTATATTTTAACATCTCAACTATTATGTAGGAATTTCTATTATTTCATTTTAAGTAAATCGTCACTTTATTACATCATTTGTATAATTTTGTCATGCTTAAAACAATTTGGTACTATTTTTGTACTTATTTATATTATACGACAATATGTATTTTTACAATACATATTTTTGTTATTTGGTGCGGAACGGAAGAGACGTAGAGAAAAATTGTGATATGATTTACTTTAAAAGAAATATTTTAATTTTAATTCAATTTGAGATATTTGTACCGAAGTATAATCAATTTGATACAAAATACTCTCCTTCATTATAAATAAAATATATTATAAATTACTAGTTACGCAATTCTAACTTGATCTTTTATCGGTTAACTTTATCTCTGAAAACATGAATCTTTATTTATTTATGTTCATACAATTGTGCCAACTAAACTGGTCTCCTTTTACGAATGGCATGTCATGGAATATTTGCTTTCTGTAGTATTACAATTTATATAAAATATGACAGGGTGACCGGAATGCCAAAACATTGTGTTACCAGATTTATTTTGACAAGTTTTTTTCTCGCTTACTAACACTAATATATGTAACATAATATTCCTATAAAATAATACTCCTGTAGGTATCTTACATTATGTTTTTAATCACAAAATCAAATATCAAATGCTATTTTAAATATCATTATAAGATAGTCGAAAACAAAATCGAATCGAAAAATAATAAACAATGACAATGAATTTTTTATTGTCTACTGTTTCTAATAATTTGTGAGTTACTTTTGATAAAGAGGTATCAAATTATTTAAAGTCACTGTCCACATTTTAAGTACTCAGCCACACTATGTTCATCACTGCTTCTTTATCTGCTTATCGTAATATCGTCATATTGCCTTAACCAGACTCACTGTACTCTAACTCTCGAGGCATATTACTTGTCCTTTAACTCACCAAAGGAAAGCGACAAAAGGGGAGCAGTATTCAGAATCAGCTGCAGGGATAATGGTATGACGAATAAGGTGCCCATTCGGTCTTCGATTATACTATTAGTTAGCACCAACATTGTGATAATTGTTGACCTACTCTTGTGATGATGAAATATTCATACATCAATAAAGTGTTTTCCATTACCGGTACTTAAATACGGTACGGTACTAAAATAATATACTCTACGTTTCTAATTCCTTCAATTATTTAACATCATCATCATCATGTAGCTTCGCAAAGGTGTGGCTGTAGCACAGTGTTTATGTGCAAAACTATTACACTAAATCAAAAATGAAATAAATGTAATTGTTGCTTTTAGATGTAGTAACATGCAGTCAAAATATCAATGTAAAACGTTCAGAAATATGGAGGCGAACAAATTATTTGGTTCTCAAATAGTTACCTAATTTAGTGGCATTACAATTTAATTGGAATATTATGTACATTTAATTATAAACTTTATTTTTTAAGGAATATTGTATAAAATGTAATAAATGTAGTCAAGAGTCCACTAATAGTTACTATATTGCGTTTAGTTAGTCATGTACTAAACGGCTTTCAGCTTTTTGGTAGCTATCTCTAAACATGACCTAATTTAAGACTTATCATTTAATTCATTTATAATAGTCAATTTAAATGTAAGTCTTCCATTTTAAATATAAAAGTCCTGAATACGTTACTGTCATTGTAAATATTTCTTTAGAAAATTAATTAAAAATTGTTTATCATTTGAAAGTATGAATAACATTCTGAAGTTTGGGTGATGCAATTGAAGCTATGTAATTAAAATATATTTTTAAAATGTAATAAGAACACTTATTTTTATAATCCTTAGGATTAAACAATTAATTAAATATTTTATTTGATTGCTGAAACTATAAAAATACAATATTTCAACTGAATTATTATTCTTTCATTTCCTATACATTTACAAAGAGAGAAAAGACAGTTACTAGTACAACCATAGAGATATAACCTAGAGAGAACAAGATCCCCAATCTTGCAATATAGGCATCGAGAGAGACGGATAATAGATAATCCTCTCTATCTCGTTCTAGTCAAGCTCTGTGGTTGTCTGGGGAATAAGAGGGGTTAAGAAGTAGGCAATCGCAGCTTAGCTAAACAGAAACAGAGCGTAATATCGGGCATCCGTCTCTCTTGTTGCCTGTATCGCTCCATCCAATCCCATCCACGGGTAAAGCTGCCTGTATCCAGTTACAGGCAGCTGTACCCCTGTTCTCTCTATGCAATAGACTAGTCACCTTTTGATAGCAGATGAGCGTTCAGCGTGACTGTGTTTTTCTTTTATTATTTAGTGGAACAGGCATTTGTTATCTAACTCATTTATAAGACACTGACGATGAAAACGAAGATGGTATAAGTCTATCAAAGAGAAACCTTCGCACTATAGTTTTAAACCTCCTACGAATAAATAGGGATAGGGTAGGAATGAACTAAAAAGCCCGAAAAATTATCTTTTTTGATTCTGACATTTACTAACACACATTTATATAAGTACTAAAATTTACTAATAAAACCTAAGATACAATAATATAAGGGCTTTAAACATATTTATGTAAAACTGTATTCGATTAGTAAATATATATTTTTTTTTCTAAATATCTGAAGGATCGGATATTGTAGTATTAGATTTCTTTTTCTCAATCTGACAGAACTGTGAAACGGTATCTTTAGTTTAGATGGACTATAGTGGACGTCTTATGGCTGACATGAAGTGTCCGGGAGCACTACTGGTACTAACATTTATTCTGTGCCGGGAAGTTGGAAACACTCTTCTGCGGGGTGAAAATACCTCTCTATTTAGATTACGGCAGAAATAGGGGAGAAATATAGTTTCAATACACGTGTAACCTCTTTTCAAAATATTAGTAATGATAAATATATTATTGTATATACATATATACCACACTGCACTATCCATTAGCAAGAATTGTATTATGCTTAAAGTGTGTTGTTATGTAAACAATATGTTAGGGGTTAAAGTATGAAATTGCCGATTTGTACTGAAAAAGTCAGACGTAACATATTTATTTAATCAATATATATTTACTCTGTCTTTTTTTTTTTTTCCTTGCGGATATCCCCTCGGATACCACTTACCGGTGGCAATGTCGGACTCGAGCCGACTAAAACCGCATGCAGTCTCAGGTACCAGTAGTCGGGGAACCAGGTGTACCCTAGAAAGGAAATCCCTGGTGCCCCGACGTACCTCGGGCCATCTACGTCGGGTAGACGACCCCCCCCCCCCCTGTGTGGGAACCCCCATGTTCCCTCTGTGCTCCCGGAAGGGCGTGCGCGCTTCATAACGCGCTCCAAACGCACCCCGGCCTGCTTCTGCTCAGGTGACAGATGGCCTCACCTGTCACCCCCAGGCCTACGCTTATGGAGGACGGAGGTCGTTCTGCGACCCCAGTTCTAAACCTCGCCCAGTCCCGCTCCACCATCTCCTTCGCAAGCATAACTTGCTCGCAGAAGGAGACGGTTCCACGCACTCTCGCTCCGCAGGATAGCCGCAATGAGGTTATCGAGCGAGAGAACTCCCACTACGATGGCCGCCACGAGGTCTCGCCTCTGCTCCACCCACGCCGGGCATTCTGCCGGCGTGTGGAGCGCCGCGCCGTGTCCACGGTCCGACCATCGCAGTGGTGGCACTCAGGAGTTGGCTCCTTGCGGATCAGACACAGGTGATCCCCGAAACATCCTTTCCCAGTGATTACCTGCGTCAGTTGGTATGGGAGGGTCCCTTGATGCCTCTAGAGCCAATCCTCCATAACGGGTCCTACCGCCGCGATGACGGCGTGCCCGAATATATTTACCCTCATTATAGATACATTGCTGCTATCTAAACGGAAGTTCATTGATGTCTTTACGATAGAACTCTGGTTTTCTAGATTCGACAATCTGTGTAAAGCATTTTGGGACTGCACTGCCTCCTGGGAAGACATTCCTGGGAAGAAAACACTCCGTATTCTTAATCTGTCACCACATGGACAGATAACTGCTGATACTGCTGATAAACAAACCTATATAATAATTTCGAAATACATACATATTATAGATAAATTACACCCAGATACAGAATAAATGATCGTGCTCATCACACAACTATTTGTCCAGGATAAATAAGAAAGAAGAATAATTAAATTAACAAAAAATAAATAAATAATTAAATAAATAAAACTCGAACCCATGACCTCTGGCTTAGCGGTCAGGGTCACTAACCTGCCAACCATCAGATAAGTCCGCCATGGCTTCACTATGTAGGTAAACATACTTATAACGGCAGCGGCAGTATTACTGAGGTAAACATATTTCCTATCAATGAATCTCCGATTAATAGAATTTGATATACTCCATAGTTAAAGTATTTCAAGTAAATTCCTACAGAATTCAACTTGCATTTGGCATCTCGTAGTTGGCTCCTGTATTTTAGACGAGGTTTGGTACAAAGTAAACCGCTATTTATATAATTACACAATTGCCTTTCTGCTCTTTCTTAAT